CTTCATTTTTTTTTCCTCCTTTGAATTGAGTTAACTCACTTTACTACGGAGAATTGTCAAAGAGCCAGTGGAAACTTGTCTGGGGCTGCCAGAGAGGGAGGAGGCAGGGAGCCACTGCCTCTTGGCACAGGCAGGTGGGAAGAAAAGAGGACAGGCCTAGGAGGAGAAGGAGATGCAGGGCACTCCTGCCTTCCTGCCCACAATTATCTTCACACAGTTGCCCCACCATTAGAATAGAGGAGCACATGCCCCACTCCTCGCTGGCCACACAATTCCTGCTTCTTTCCTGTAGCAGCCACATGCACACTATTATGTAACACTGGGCTTGGATGCCTGCTCTACCAACTATTGATCTTCAGAGGTTTTTTTTCCCTCTATTGATCATATTTGTTGAATGGGGCCCCATAAAATTAGACTGATAAAAGACAGAAGGAGAGAAGCAAATTTATTAACATGTGCATCATGTGTATGCATGAGAATGCTTGATGGTGAGTAACTCAGAGGAATGGTTAGAACTTGAACTCACATGGTATCTTAGCAAAGAATAAGAATCTTGCAGAGAAGTAATAACCAAAGAATAAGGAGTTTGAACTTCTAGGGCAGGCAGATTGGGGGAAGGTAAATGTATGTGGAGGCTGATGGAAGATAACATTTGTTATACAGATTCTTCTGGGATTTCTCTGAGCAGGTAAGAATTTAGAGTCTCTGGTGATTCAAGATTTCCTGCCGTTCCTGGTAGAGATGGGGAGGGCAAAGAATTTTTCTTGGGTCTGCTTCTACTTAATTGGCTTTTGCTCAAAATAATCAATAGACCAAAGTGGCATATTTTGGAGTGGCATATTCTACAACTTCCTCTGAAGGAACTTTCTGGTTCCCTCATGTGGAAAAAGGAAATAAAATTAGTCCTTAGGCATTCTGAGGATTTCTTAGATAATCCATTCAAAGAACTCAGAACCGTGTCTAGCAAACAACCTATGCTCAGTTCATGCTGCCTAACACCACTGCTGCTCCAGCTGATGAAATCCGTTGGATTTTCCCAAGTTCCTTCCATCCTGGACTTGGGGGTGAGGGAGGCCCTGGGTATAGGCAGCTAAATAAGAAGTGGAAAAAGAGAATTTATTAATAGAATCCTCTCCCTTCTAGAATTTCTTGGAGATGGTGACGCCAGTGGCAACAGCTGATTAGGAGACCATTCAGTAAGGATTAAGAATCAAATACACTGTGTCACTGAGGTAGTCTTAGGCCTGCAGATCTGTTGTGGGCAATGTGAAAACAAGAGGAAAATTAGGATGTATTTCAAAATGGAGTCTGGAGGCCATGAAGGGGGCAGGATTTATGCAGGCTCCAGCTTCTCCCTGGGAATGTGAACTCTGGTCTCTTCCACCCTGTCTGGAACAACCAGAGGAAGTGGTCAATTGAACTGTACTCAGAGGCTTACAGTACATATCAGGAGATCACCAGACTCTTGTTTTGTGGCCTTTTCCATTTTGTTTGTATGTTCTTTTTTTTTTTTCTGTAGCTTACGTAGCTCCTGTTTCATCTCAACATTCACTAGCACACATGAGCTCCTACTTTTTCTGCCTTCCGCAGAATGATGATTTAGAGCTTTCTGAATCTTTGTCACTTGAATCACAGTTCCTAAGACCTGAAATAAAGCCGTTTGGATGGATTCACTGTGATAGGTAAGAAAGAAATTATTCATCCGTGAACGGAGAGTAAAAAAGGAGTGAAAAGTGAGGGAATAGCCACTGGAAGCTAGAATCAGTAAAACTGGGAACTTGAGCAGAGAGAAATGAGGGAGAACAGCAGGATTTTGTAGGGAGAGAACTAAATGGAAAGAGTTAAGACCAGAGATCATGCAGCAAATTGCTGCCATCAAAAGCAAATATTTACCAGACTCTAGACGATAAGACAGTACGCCCATGGACTTTGAAAAATACTGTTTACATGGAAAAAAAAAAACATGTTGGATGAAAATTACAAGAGGCCATTGTTTTAGACAGGAGCCTTCTTTCACTAAGCCCCACAGACCAGACTAAAAAACAAAATGGAGTCACTTAGGCTGAGGTTCTTTAGTACCAAACAGAAATTGAATTGTAATCTGACCTTCCCAGAAATCAGGAGAAAGAACTCCAGAAAACTTCCTCAACCAGCTCATTTTGACTGACATGATAATCAAGTTTCCTCTTCTTTAATCCTTACACCTTCTAATCCTTATGAAAAGTATCCCGAGGCAATCTGATATTAACCTACCCATTATTTTTCTATTGTCTATCTCATTGTCTGTATTTCAAAGGGAAAGTAACTTTGAAATACCAGCTGATTTTGGTTTTTAGTTTCACCTTTTCTCGGCCCTTTTCTGTCTAAAATCTAACCTCTTCAGCTCAGCCTATCAGAACACATATTCTATTCTATGGAACGAAGTATTACCTATTGCAGAAGCATAAAATAAAATCAATTAAGATTTTCAAACCAAGTCATTATAATTATACCCTTCAATAAAATTTGTTTGTATAGTGTGCTTACTACAGTTTTCCAGATTATATCTAAAGCTTTTATATTCTAAGTGGCTGACTGAGTAGGACATGCCTGATGAACCTGTGTTAAAGAGAAATATACAGGAGAAATTCTCCTTTATCTCTTGTGGCAAAGATAGTGCCATGACTTCAACAAACTATGAACTTTGAACTCCTAAGTACTTCAGAAAAAAACATATTGTCCAGTGTTCTCCCACGTAAGTGGGATCATGTGACTAATTCTAGCCAACAGAATATTGGTCAAAGTGATGAGCCACTAAAACTTTCCTGATCTTCTTCTCTCTCACCTTCCCTGCCAGGAAGCAGAGCACAGATGGAGGGAGCCTTGGTATCTGAGCCTTGGAAGAAGTTCACCTGCAGAGTTGTCCAACCAGCATGATACTGTTAAGTGGATGAGAAATAAAACAGTTGTGTAAAGTCACTGAAATTTTAGAGTCATTTGTTGTAGAAGCTAGTATTAATGATCCTGACTAATATAGCCTCAGACAGCAAAAATGACCAAAGTTGAACCTACTATTAGAGTAACTGGGGGAATCTTAGAGAAATAACAAATTCTTTTGCCTTAGGATTTCGGAAGGTTATTGTTACAGTGCAAACATAGACATGTAATACACTAAGCCTTCGAAATCCATGATGGCATTTGCAAGGGCCAGAAACACATGGAAACACACAGATTTATCCATTCAAACCCATTTAGTAATGAATGAGTGCTTGAGAAGTGCTGGGCTGTGGGCTGAACACCAGTTTACTGACAGTTTGTTGGATTGATAATTTGTAAAGGGCTTGTTTATTGAGTTAGAGATTTTTTTGAATCTAAATGGGAAAATTTCATTTTCTGGGGGAACTTCTGAACTAGTTTTTATTTCTTTGGTCATACCGGGAAGCACAGGAAAAGAAATCCCCACGTATGAACATTTGGAATCATTCTTTGTGGTGCAAGTTGAGACTAACCTGTAGTTAAGAGAACCTGGCCTAGAAGAGAAGAGAATTAGGATATATAAGGGAGACATCTTATATATCCTAATTGGGGCATGGGAAAGCCCTGTTTAATTTGCTTATGTTAAGATGGTTAAGATAGCCAGGTTTAGTGGCAAATGCCTATAATCACAGTGGCTCGGGACACTGAGGCAGGAGGATTGCAAGTTTAAAGCCAGCCTCAGCAATGGTGAGGCACTAAAGCAACACAGTGAGATCCTATCTCTAAATAAAATACAAAATTGGGCTGAGGATGTGTCTTAGTAGTTGAGTGCTCCTTAGTTTAATCCCTGATGTTCCTCTGCCTCGCAAAAAATGGCTAAGATAGCAGCCAGGAGAGAGCTTGGGTTTCCTTAGAATTTGATTCTCTTAGAAGGTCTCAATGTCTAATAATTCCATCGTTTATTAAAACAAACAAAGCAATATGATTTCTGCAGAGACTTCTCCTATCTAAACAACTTTTTGGAAATTGTTAAGCTTGCTTAGTAATGGAGATTCTGAACTATAGGATGAAAGGTTTAAGAAGAATTTGAAAACATTATGTGAGCAAATTTCATATTTGTAGAAAGAGAAAATCATCTTTAATGAATGGAATCACTTGAGTGGCCCCCGCCTAACTATGGAAAACTAAGACTAGGAAGTACTGGTGCCCTGGGGAAGGGCAACAGAATCTTTTGTATTTGATGAAGAGAGCCCCTTCCTTCATGAGGGAGGAGGATGGGGAGACCAATTGCCCAAGGAGATCAGCCCTTTCAAATAAGAAAGAAGATTGCCCAACACCTGCTCCCTGAGGGTAGATTTAGGAAGCCTGTCAGAATGAACTGAAGCCTGTTGGCAGGAGAGTTCAGCACAGACCACAAAGCAGACCTTCCCAGGATGACAGGGGACTCTAAGCTCAGTGCAAGGATTTAAGGATTTAGGAAAATTTCTGGTTTCAGGGCCGAAGGTATTCAAAGCTGAAACCTGTCTAGATGACATACTTAACCTGGTGTTGTTTCTAGTCATTGCAGGAAAAATGGCAGGCATCTGAGTCTAGACAGGAGGGCTGAAATCTTGGAACTTTAACCCAGAACAGGGAACAAGTGATCATTAGAGGGAGCAGGGCCAAGGGTGACAGTGCCGCTAGTGGACTGATGAAAATTTCCAATTCTCATGCTGTCTTTCATCACTTGATTCTTAAAAGGTCCTGTGTTGTCAGACAATTGGGTATCTGTCTCGTGGGAGGAGCCAGTGTTTGAGAGTCATTAGGGACATGAATTGCCCAGAAAAACTGGAGCAATTAAATAATAGGAAAAAAAAGATATCGCATATTTTTATCTGGAATAATTCATGGGAAGTCATACTACATTGTCCTTGAGTGTCTGTCTCTAAAGCGGTGGGGTGGGAGGTAAGTCCCTGAATACATAGATTAAGGCAATATAGGACTTGCAGCTGTGGGGAAACAGTTAAATGAATTGGGCACAGAATTTTTGGCTGCCTCCTTCAACTTGGTCTGACTTGACCATGTGATGGTGATGAATAATACATTACCAGGACAATGAGCTCTATTAACAAATCCAAGCAGTTTTGAGTTCTGCTAAAAGAGAAATCAAACGATTCACATTGCAACACTGACTTAGAGCAGAAAACCAATTAATCTAAAACAGGTTTCTCAAAACTGTTTATCATATAGAACTGTCTGTGTACATGTGTGTATATATGTGTGTGTGTTACTGAGAATTAAACCCGGGGCCTTGTGCATGCTAGGCAAGTGCTCTACCGTTGAGCTATAGCCTCAGACCTTTTTAAATTTTTTTTGAGACATGGTTTCACTACGTTGCAAGACTCACCTTGAACTTGCAATCATACTCCAGCTGTCTGAGTACCTGGGATTAAAAGCATGTGCCACCACATCTGGCTATAGATTTCTTTTAAGGGAAAATAGTTTACAAATTTCTACTGCTGACTTAAATTACTTTTACTATGATATTCTCTCCCCGCCCCCTTTTTTTTTTTGTACTCAGTTTCTTGGATTTTGAGTTTCTGTTTTACTCAGCCACTATTTCTTCAAATATATTTTCTCTCCCCATCCTACCCCAGTTAATCTAACAACACTGTATTACTAGATTGTTTCATAATTCACATATTCTTTGATGTCTTTTCTTTCATTTTTGTCCTTTTCTGGGACAACTGTTCTCCACAGTCTGATAACTGATGTCTTCAAATCCTTGTTTTATATATTTTTCCTGTTATTAATTTTTTTCAAAAGAATATAAAATTTGTCCATTATAATCCAGCCTAGTGAAAGCAGAACCAAAAAGAACCACTTCTAAATCTTCTCTCAAAAGAGGGAGAAATCTTGTCTCTCCCAGGAATCCTTTGGAAATGTCTTCTCAAGCTCATCATTGAGCACTAATGATCATGTGTTCATCCCAAATCTATCACTCGGTCAAGGAGATGGGATTGTGTGTGATTTTAAAGCCAGTCTTGAGCCACCTGCCCCACTGCTAGAGACAAGTGGAGGCAGCTTCTCAAATCAGAGTTTCTCAAACTCAGCAGTTGAGACTTAGGGGTTGGGTATTTTGTTATGGTAACCGGGACACTTTCCTGTGCTTTGGAGGCTATTTAGTATCATCTTGTTCTCTACCTACAAGTTTAAGAAACCCTCTATACCAATTGCAATGACTGGCATTGTCAAATATCCCTGGGATGGGAGAAAATGGCTTCTGAGTGAGAACCCCTGTCCTAAAAGCATAGGCCCCATGAGGACGTGTGGATACCCAGGGGAACGTTACCGAAGGGAAGGAGAGGCAACCAGGGTCTATTGTGATATCCAGTCATCAAATTTTACAACCAAAAGATTAACAAACAAGTCATTTAGATAGATAGTTGAGGAACTGCATAATCCTTAGGTACTAACAATAAGCAATTTATAGATTAATAGGAGACTCCCACTAGGTAGTATACAAAGACCTGTAAATTATAAAACCCTAAGACACGTAGCATGGATGTGCTATTATTTATGTACCATTAGCTCAAATATGTACATATTTTATTTCTCTTGCAATATTTTTTCATTTACATAACATCAGCAACTAGACCCAATTTGTTTCCTGCTATAATTAGGGTAGATAACAGGGAACAGAGAACCTGATAGATTTAGGGGAACTGAAAGACCATCCAAGCTTTCATTATTTTGTGATGTGCCACACTGAGCTTAAATAACAGAGAGGATGTTCTCTCAGATACTACCAATACAGGGACCTGGCAGGAATATTGTGAGATATTCTTGAGATATTGCAAGATTGCTGAGGCCCTGAGAAGCTTGCCCACCAGCCTTCTCTCTGATATTAAGCTCACTGAGGATGAATAAAGAGTTAAATGTCAGCTGTTTCCTCTGTAGCTTTTTAAGTTCAATGGAAACATCATTAGTACCCATCTATAACTTACTTTTAAACTTTTGTCTTCTGAATAAAACTATTATATGTAGAGCTCTTAGTCTACAAAAGCACTTTTTAAACCATGATCTTCTTCAAAGTGCAAAATCCTTGTGACTTGGTTATCATTATTTCCCCTGTAGAGTTGTGGAAACTGTGTCTCAAAGGCTTTATAACAACTTACTTGAGGCCACACAGGTGGTAACTGAACAAACTGGACTTTGATACCAGATCAGAGCCTTTTCATTCTAAGTTCCATTTTCTCTCTTTAATCCACTTCTTTCGGTTCCTAGCTCATAGAAAATTCTTTCTAAATTAAAGAGTGGGGGCATTTGCTATTTGCCCAATTTGCTAGTAGCACGTGGGGTCTGGAGATGTTCCAGTGTAAACTTTGTTGTGAGTACTTGGGCACTACAAATAATAATTGCATCTGACTAGCATAGATAGATAGCCTATGACTAAAACTTTGTGAGTGATTCTTATGTAAATCACTTGCTTCTAACCCTCTCTGGCCACCAAGTCCTAACTTAGAGACTAACACTGCTTCATTACAGACCCTGGTGGATTTTTAAGCACAGGAAAAACCTTTGCTATTTAAAGGGTATTGGACCAGAAGTGTTGGTATTACCTAAACATTTGTTGGGAATTAAGAATATTTCAGGACACTCCCAAAACTTATTTCCTCTGAGTCTACATTTTAACAAGACCTCTGTGTGATTCATATACACATTAAAGTTGGAAAAGCACTGTACTAGATCTAGGTGCCCTTGTGTCTTCTCAAAGTCCTCTCCACTCTAGTGGTACTTTAACCCAGTAGCAGATGAGCTGGGCTATGTTGATAGTTCCAACAGGGTGTGCCTAACCAGTCAGCAACATTATGGACATTGTTAAGGCTGTAACAGATCATGTCCACAGACAAGATCTGCCTTGAACTCTTCGCACCATGAAGTCATGCAAAGGGATTTATCTCTTTAGATTACACTTCCAGGAGTATGGCTGCATTGACAGGCACAGGCTAAACATGCAAACC